ACAACAAATTTTTTCATTGTTCAACGACACGGATTGATGACGACACACGATTATATCACTCAAAACGACCAATTTCGATCTATTAACCAGTCTTCCTTTTAACAAAAGACCGTTTTGCTCAAATCACTTTGAGTTATGTAATCTTATGCGTGTTGGACGTAAACAACATATCTTGTCTACAACTTTGAGAAGGTACAGGTAACGCCTTCTAAAATCCTCAGTTCTAGCGATATCTCTGTAAAATCACAAGGACGTTAATGCTAAGTCTTTTGGCTATATCACTGGGCTATATCACTGGCCTGAAAAATAACTAATTTAACGCGATCAAGGTATTTAAAACAAAAGTAATGCGAAGCCAACGTAACGGCAAAGACAACGCTAAAGTGAAATATTATCGATTGGTTGCTAGTATAGAAGACTTACGACAGGATGAATCTTAAATAACCTTAAACTAGGGGCATAACTGTTCATATCAAAGACGAAGACCAGTGCCAAGGTATAAAATCTGCTCTGTAAACTTACGACGAAGTGGAGAAATGTGTGCATAAGCTGTTTATTTGGTGATTTCAACGTGTATGGTAGCCCTCTTTCCAATAATATTCGTTTATCGCACAGAATAACACCAACTGATATAAGTTCAAATGCAATGATAAGTTACCTCTTGAATTACATCTCAGAAACTTGTTGGAAATGGAAATGCTGACCCATTCCATAAGATTACCGTTTTACATCGTTGTATAAAACATTTTGATCGCATGTAAGGAATTATTTCTCATCCCAGAGATATAGCCCAACGACTTAACATTGACGTCCTTGTGATTTTATAGAGATACAGCCAGAACTGAGGATTTTACAAAGCGATATCGGTACCTTCCCAAAGTTGTAGACAATAAGATATGTTGTTCACGTCCTACACGCTTAAAATTATATGTAGAGACTGGTTCACAGGAATTAGTCATTTTGAGTTATGCAATCGCGTGTCTTCATCCATCCGTGTCATTGAACAATAAAAAAAATTGTTGTGAAATTAGCTAAAATAAAATAGCAGTTTGTGAGAAAACTGCGGGTCTACGCGGTGCGGGAAGTTTTCGGATTTGAACTCAGCGTGTTCGAAAGTGTTAGTTCCCATAAAAAATATTTCAGTTCCAAGACATGCTTAATGAAAATCGTTTTCTAGGCACTTTTCGAGGTCACAGCAAACGGCCTACCAGGACTGTGGTTAAATTAACCAGGAAATTTAACCCAAACAGTGTTAATTTTAAAATAACCAGGAAATTTTTAAATGTCTACTGAAACAAGGTACATTAATACTGCTTCCCTAAATACTATAAATGTACTGGTCATATACAGTTATTTCAATTAAGGTTGTCCCCCGAGCAAAGCGGAAAAGTCGAATACGAGCGCGAAAGGCTGCTGGGAATCGCTAATAATTCATTCATTTATTAGCGATTCCCAGCAGCCTTTCGCGCTCGTATTCGACCTTTCCGCTTTGCTCGGGGGCAACCTTAATTGAAATAGCTGTATACCAAAATACGGTAAACACTGATCGAGCGCTAGCATACTGCTACATACGGTATGCTGCTACAGTGCTACGGTATTAGTGGTCAGATATACAGAGACATGACATATACTGATTAAATATCACAGAAATATGGCTTGTTATGTGGTATGTACAAGAATATGCTATATACTGGTCATACGTGCACATACACTGAAAACGGTATTAAAGGGGTCATTACTCATTAATTTTTCTATCGATAATTACATATTCCATTATATATATATATTTACAAATATTGTAATAGGAATTAAAATCTGTCAAAAAGTAGTGGCGTCAGCTTAGATATACTGTTTGGTAACAATGAATTGTCAATGAGGCGATGAAAAACACAGGCAGATGCAATTGGAGAAGTGAAATTACCGATGAACTTTAAAACAATTTGATTTACAGTAGATTATTCGTTGCAAATATAAAGAACTTTTTACTTTTGTATAATCCTAGAATTTTAAGAATAATCTAAATCAACTAATATATGAAAAAAGGTGAAAGTTATTATTATTAGAGTATATGTTTATGTTGTGAGTTCAATGTGGGTCTCCCTCTAGATGTACGAAGGCGTTGTTGTTGATGCTCAGCGCAGGATTCACACATTCCATGCAAAGGCACTTCATCGAAGCAAACGAAGCCTGAGAAGAGCCCTTCACTCGAAATGGCGGAAACGCGTGCTTGTGTATTCGTCATGGTTCAGTCCGACTTCTATCAACAACAAAGGTTTACCTTTAAGGGCTGTCTTGACGGTACGATTATAGTCGTATACGCGATTGTCATTCTGGCGTATGAAAATTACTGCTGACGGTACAATTGCTCTTCATTTAGTTTACCGCGACATTTTTTATGGGTGTTTATTCGATTACATACGCCAGAATACGAATCGTGTACAACTAATCGCATTATAGACAATCTTTATAGTCTACGATGGAAATTTATGAAGATAGCTTAGCTCGTCTGAGCGTAGGGAGTGAAATACGAAAACCTATCTTAGGCGGAAAAACAAGTGTTAATTCTCCTGTTAGTCTTACACGTAGCAAGTTATATATGTTATAGCTCTTATCAGTCTTATCTTGTTATCCCCTCGTGCAATAAATTACAAAATTAAAATGAACCATGATCTCATTCAGTATGGAGGATCTATATACGAAGTAGCATATTTTGCTGTTTCTTTATAAATCAGTCTCTTAATTTCGTCCGGCGGTAACTCATCTACTTCGGACTCAGGACCAAATGGCACTAAAGCAATTGGTTCATTCGCGTCATCATGATAGCGATGTAGAAAATGATGTTCCAGTGCATCTTCCACTGTAATACGTTGGCTTGAATTGAATGTTATCATTCTATCCAAAAGATCCAAGGCCACGGGTTCTGCGTGTGGAAACAGTTGGGCTAGTGGTTTCTTAGGCTTACGGGCTAAGGCCAGGACATGCCTTTTACTCTCTTCACTTGTGACTGTTAGTAGATCTTCAGCTGAGGGAGAACCAGTAATGTTTATAATATTATTAAGCTCATCAAGATAATGCCTTCCTGCGAATAAAGGGCGGTTGGAAATCATTTCAGCCAGAATACAACCAACTGACCACATATCAATAGCTTTTGATACAAAACATTTACAGCGCAGCATAACTTCAGGAGCTCGATACCCTCTCGTGACAGCATACTGTGTCATGCCACTGTTCTCTAGTTTAGATGTAATAATTCTAGCGAGGCCAAAGTCACATATCTTCAAATAACAGTCAGAATTTACGAGCACATTCCCAGGTTTCATATCGAAATGAATGACATTGGCTGAGTGAATGTACCTCAGGCCACGTAGGATTTGGTAAAGAAAGCAACGGACATGTTCGTTTGATAGACGTCGAGACTTGAGTAGTTTTCGTAAGTCTGTATCCATGAGTGGCAAAACAATGTGAATATCTTGAATAGCTCGTTGTGTTGGCGCTGCTACGATGTCTAGCACACTCACAATGTTATCGTGGTTAAAACGTGATAATATCATAATCTCTCTCAATGCTTTAGATCCACTCGAGCCGTTAAGAAATGGACTGATTTTCTTGATAGCAACTCTACGACGTGTATGGTTGTCAACTGCGGAACAAACCATACCGTAAGCGCCTTCGTTTATATACTGAAGATTTGTATATCGTGGTGAGACATAATTCCCCTGGCTACGCCGGGGCTGATGGTAATAACCAGTGGCCATGATTAGAAATATGAAACAAGTCAAAACTTTGTTACATCTTGAAACATCATAACACACTCTTTCTAGAAGTCACAATTCTTGTCTACATTTCCATAAAACCACTGGCGCATGCATTAAAGGGAAATGTCAGATATTTATATGCAGCTTGCACAGCTGGAGAGAGAAGAAACACAAAGAGTCAACCCCTATATGTATTTAATCTCTTTAGCAACTCATTCCAACCCCCGCGTTTAAACTACACAAAAATTTTTACCTCCCAATGTTTGTGAAAAATTACGATGCGAAAAATTGTCAGAATTGATTATTCAACGTTGACTCATTATAGAATTATATTTTCAAAGGCGTCTTTGTATGAATAGAAGGTGGGTGTGTTATTTGAAAACATTGAAAACAACATTCGATTTCCAGTTATTGTGAGCGTAAAGCTTTGCAAGGTTAAAACAACAGTGGGTATACGTGGCAGTCAAGTCTGCATGTTTCCATGGTTCTGAAATAATCACTAACACTAGTTATATCTATTATGACTGATATCAGCATTATGCACTATAGAAAAGTTTGTATTAATTATTATTCGATAACAAATTTCTAAAAAAATACCCAATAAACAAGACTGACTATAGTTAGGGGTACTAATATCATGAGGCAGCACACTTTTCTTGAAACTGATAGCGCTGCGTCTCTCCAGAGTTCACTCGTGCCCAGTCCTTTGAGCAATCTTTATGTTGTTGTAAATATCGGTTTGCATCTGTCCATCTATCTGCATGTTTTATTATAATTCCAATTAGCGAAGTGCGTATAATAAACAGATTTCTATATTCTTTCCTAAGATTTATCAAGGCCACGAATGCGCTCACCACAACACGAAATGTCCCACTGTGTGCCCAGTCTCATTCATGATCTATTTATTGAGAGCGTCGAATTTGAACTTATCTTGCGATAGCAACTTCTTGTCTTATGTGTTTACTCTGAAAGATCTATTAAATTTGAAAGGTTTAAATATTTATACCAAGATCGATATCATATTGAAAGGAATATAATTTCCATTGCACGTCTAAAATTTTTAATATATGTTTCATAAAGTATATACAACAACTACAACAAGAAAAAGATCATGCAGTACCACCATTTTCTCTCAGTCTCAGATTTTTTTATTTGTGGAAGCCATCAGAACTGGAATAAGTGATTAACTAAACGTGGCGTTTTCCCACAAATAGAGAAGTATAATGATTATGAGATTATATGGATTACCATGGAAACAAACAACTAATCAATGATCAGTAATTTATGTAAATATCCAGATAAGCATTAAATTCAGTATCGAAGTGCATAGCTGCATGTAGTTTAGACACTTCATTCAGTTAAGACTAAGTATAATCAATTTTGCATAACAGATCTCCCAAGCGACTTTGGAGGAATTATGCAACGCTTTTACTGTCTGAACCGGAATTAGTATAGGTAATCGCATGGGGCCGAGTAAAATTAAGGTTTAATTTCACGCGTGTTTTCAAAGTTTCACAATTTTAAAATTAAGGTTTAATTTCAAAACCTTAATTTTACGAGGAACTATGCGATTACTTGTTAATCATAGAGGGCAAAATTTATTCGCAAGTATACGCGGTGCAAGTGGGATAGCATGACGTACCAGGGCAAAAACACAAAAAACAATGACAAATGTTTAACTTTGTATATTTACTCAACAAACTTTATTTAGATTAATACATTTAAAATTATTTTAATTTTCTTCATTCAAATCAAAATATTAAATTATAGAATAACTTTTACAAGTATATGTATGTAGAAAATTAACTACGCGCGGCGTAAACAACATGAGGTCTGAGGAAGCCATTAATGGATAAATTTATAACAAGGGACATAAATCTTAGTGCTAATTATAATCTCAGAAATGCTGATATAAATCTTTCAGTTCCTAAACCACGTACTGAATATTTAAAAAAGAGTTTTGGATATAGCGGGGCTGTTCTATGGAATAGTTTACCTACGCAGGCAAAGCAAACAGAATCTTTAAGTAGCTTCAAAAATTTGATAAAATAATGTGTGCTACAGAGTCAGGCATCGAATAGTCTTGGTTTTTTAACTTTTTATCTACGTATTTGTTATTCTGAGTTATTCTATTTCATATTTAATTTATATTAGTTTTTAGAATGTAATTTGTGTGACGCCCCTCATGAAAATCATCCATGGGTGATGAGGGAAGCGTGGTTAAATAAAGTTTTACTATACTATACTATACTAATAAGGCCCACACAGACCGGACGCGCGATTCGGCAACGCGACGCGAATTTTTAGTTTTCAAAAACAAATAAAACCGTCAACGGATAAAAATTTTACAAGATATGCAGATCAAATAGTTAAAATTGCTTAAGTGGTTCCGAATATTCGAAAAACATTGAAAAATATTAAAGTTACTGATGTCATTGAAAACTGAGAATTCGCGTCGCGTTGCCAAATCGCGTCCGTGTGGACCATGAAGGTCGAGACACACCGGACGCGATTCTACAACGCGACGCGATTTTTCGATTTTCACTGACATAATTTTGATCCTGGTTTAAAATTCCAAATATTTAGAATCGCTATAAAATTTTGAGCTATTTGGTCTACATATCTTTTTAAAATTTGCCCTCATTGGCTGCTTTATTAACTTTCAAAAACTAAGCGTCGCGTTGTCGAATCGCGTCCGGTGTGTGTGGACCTTTAAGCCGGTTTTCCACTAGCGAATTTTCTCGCGCGAAGCCACCTTTTTCCCGTTGTCGGTACCACTTATTGCGTCAGCAAGACGTGGGAAAATGGATGCCGACAAAGGAAAAAGGTCGCTTCGCGCGAAAAAAGAATTCGCTAGTGGAAAACAGGCTTTAATTAAGTGTCCATGAAATTGACATGAAAAACAAATGAAGTCTTCAACGTAATAAGTAAAGTAAATAAATAAATTCAACGTAATAACCGAAGCATTGTCAAACCTCAGTTTGCATTTGAGTTAATCAGAATCTGAATCTGAATGCATAAAAACTCTTTTAAGCGGGCGTTTAGCATGGCTCTTGGTCACTGCATATTCTTGTGACAGTTGTGTTGAATTATTCTCAGCCGTGTTGAATTATTCTCAGCCGTGTTGAATGTTACCCGACAGTTTTGAAAATTGTAAACGTTGCGTGGAGATAATGTTGGCTTATTCTGCGATGTATAACCAAAGGCTGTTGACGAACATGACCGGCAGGTAGAAGCTGTTGGAAAGTTTTTGATTGAGCACCGTCTATTAAATTTGAAACGATTCGTTGTTCCTGTTCATCTCCTGAGTCGTAAGCGTCGAGGCCTTGCTCTGGCTCTGACTTATGACCGGTAATTATCAATTATTGGACGAGGTTGAGCAAAGTATCGTGATTTGTCGGTGGCGAGCAGATCAATCACGATATTTTGCGAGAATCGAGTTCAATAATATAGTATATATCATAAAGCTTCATTTTATCTTTTAATATAAGTTCGCCGTCTCTCTTTCTTGCTTCTGCATAAAACTTGCGAAGGACGTTGGCAAGAGATTCTTTTGTAGTTTTGAGCCAACTAGATCGTCTTCGTTGATTTATCTTGCTTCTAAATGCTGGCGAAAGACATTGACGGCGGTTTTAGTTGCTTTTTCAGGCAGGCAGGCAGGCAGGCAGGCAGGCAGGCAGGCAGGCAGGCAGGCAAGTAAGCAAGACAACTCATTTTCCGAAAGTTCAGCAAAGCGAGCCGCCATTGCTTACAAAAATTGAAGGCAATGAGCATGCTCAAACTATTATTTGTAGCTGAGCAACGTTTCTAACAAATGCGCATGCTCAGACTATTATTTGCACGCAGTTATTTGCAGGTAAATTAACCAATCAAAATTGAGAATACTATAAAGTGAATGATAATATTTTTTATTTCACATTTTGGAACTCCGCAGCTTTTCAACTTTGTTACAACCGTCTTCCTGGCGGTGTGGTTGGTTAACTTCTTGTCAGGACAAATGCTATTCAATGGCGAGTTTTCTTTTATCTTTTTCATAATATTATCGATGGTATTCTTGCCCATTGGTGTTTTCTTGTACCAAACCTTGGAAGTATAGGATTATCAATCGCAGATAAGTAGAAAGGCCCTGTTGTTTGCATTCAGGTTGGACGCCTCTGAAGATATTGCTTAAAAAGAGCGACTGGACATCTTGTTCCGTCTTCATTTGCAAACATTTTCGGCTTTACAAGTCGGTTTTGCTCGCAAACCGGCTTGTCTGGTATTTGTATAACGCCTTCGGCAAACGTTACAAACTCAATTCCGTTGTCGTCCTTTTGTAAAGAGAAATCTTCAACATTCATTTCATGATGCTCTTGCCGACCACGTAGCGCGAAGTGCTGGGTAAGAAGCCACCACAACGAGTTCGTCAATGAGCGTGGGTTGTTTCCTCCAAGCTGGTCGTTTTCTCACAATATTTTCCCTTCTTCATCGGTAAGGCTTTTTGCTTTATTTGGCTGTTTACAGAAACCGTCTCTTCTGAGTTTCTTTGCCTTTCCTTCAAGCACTTTTCGGGAGTTGAGAAATTCATTATCCCTTAATATTGACTTGGAATATCCTTCCTCTCTCCCACTTTTTAAACACTCCAACCCATAAATTGGTGCTTTTTCTCGTATTTCGGTTTTCACTAGATGCTTTTAAGTCCTGAATAACGTCGCTATCGGCACTCCAAAGCGAGAAGCCATTGCAGTTTTGTTTTGCTTTAATATTTTCAAAGACGAAAGTTCCCGCTGCTTGCGCGTCTCAGCCGATCAGGTACAAGTAATTTTGCCCTGAATTAAGAAAAAATGCCCTCCTCATTAGCCAATCATATTCGAGTAATTTTGCCCTCTATATGATCAATGTAGGAAGAATCCAAATGTATACATTGCAAAATTTGCAATGAAGGAATAAACACCTGCAACCACGAAATTTGGAGGGCGTATACAACTTAAAATAATAGTCCAGGCAAAAAGTCCGAAAATATAAAATATGTATAGTGTGTATATAAACAGTACATAGGCCATGTCACACGAGGGAATTTTTGCTGCAACTTGTAATACAATTTCGGATACTGAGCTCAGAGCTACGTTATCTAAAATTATCTCTATCTATCGCATTCTACTCTAATTTTGCAACTTGAACCGATTCCTTTTGCAACGATCTTACAAAAAGTGTTCAATGTTCTTCGGATCCTTGTTTTGCCTTTTTCAAATGTTCCTCAAAAGTGCGTAAAAATACTGGAAAATTAGACCCGTACATTACTCCAAATTCGAAATGACAGATAAGAAAGTATGACAATTAACGATTCCTTAAAATTTATACCGTAACGTTCGTGTGAAAAACTGAAATTGTCCCTCAATGTTCTTTGCTAAGGCAAATGTTCCTCAGGATTTAGGATCGCGACACTACTCTCCAGGTTCTGCTTACATACTAACCTACAGAGTAACAAGTAAAATGTAGGGAAAATACTTGCAGTAGGAAAATTTCTTACTTCCAAATTTATTTGTCCAGTGACGTAACTATTCTTTGCTGACGTAGGTAGTACAGGTAAGATAAGGCGACATGACTGATCTTTACCAATCATTGCTAGAGGAACTATTACTTGACCAAGAAAACCTGTCTCTGAAAATAAGAAAAAAATTCATGTCTAAATCCATTTCCAGTCGAAAACGTCAAGAAACATAAAACTAAATGCACCCCAAATAGAAGGTTTGAGAAATGCACTGTGTAGAATTCTCAATGTACAGTAGAGCGGACAACATATTTTTTCAAGGGTTAGTGGGTCAGTTGAGTAACCTTTTGATATTAGCTAGCCCGTTCGCTGTATCCATGATGTACCTAATTCGATAAATGCTGTTAAGTGTTTACAGGAATTGCGAAAATAGCTGCTTCAAACATTGCCTTTCATTTGGGCGGTTCAGATTTGACTTCCGCTACAGCTACCACTACCAATAAGGGGCCAATAACCAATCAGATGCGTTTGATATACGCGGTTAACCAATTAAATGCGTACTAAACCAGTGAGAGATAGTAGGGTGGTAGTTATACTTGAACTTCTCTAATCACAGTTAGCCTGACTGTCAACCGCAGATTTTATGCTCATTATCTTCATTATCTGTTATGCTCATTTGAACAAACGTAAAACCACATCTGGCGAAACCATCAACGATTGTCAAGGCTTTAAAGAGGACCTATAAAGTTCCACACCTTCCGACCCTTTCTGAAATCAAAGAACCTAGCCGCTACAAAAGCAGTGAAACAGCACTACGTTTTTGTAACCTTAGGATCACAGGATTCAATCGATCTTTCATAATTTGAGTCTATAGTCCCATGTTTTTGTTTCAGGTACAGTTTTCATACGACCTTTAATTTTTTAGTTACAGTACATGTATAACTTTCCCTGATTGATCGCAAGAAGACATGAATATACAGTATGTCAGTAAACCTTTGCAACTGAAAATGCCTTAAACAAACCTGCGGAACTACGAATATATGGACCCAAGGATTTTTTTGCCATATCCGCATAAATAACCCTACCTTCTGAAGACTTTAATTCATTATATATATCGAATGAAACTTCCTTCGTCTTCTCACTAACGTCTCTGAATTACAAAGATAAACGTAATAAGCTTTGATCGTTCTATAGATATTTTATATCATATTTATTTATAAGTCGCTTTTTTGCACTAAATTTTCTATTCAAATAAAAATTGTCATATTTTAACAACTTGTCACATCACTTACAAAACATGAGATTCATTCCAAACAGGATCATTCGTTCCCTTTACAGTTTTCGTTTTTTTCTTCTGTGGCGGTTCCTTACTGGTGAGCAGGCAGTATGCATCAGGAACATCTATATTTAGTATAGTATATACATACTTATTACTTTAAATAGGTATTTCAAATGATCGATTCTTAACGACTATACTAGGTCATTTGGCGAGACTCTTTTAGTCACTAGAAATCCCCAAATCAGAGTTTTTTTGAGTCTATTACAACTATACCATACTTCAGAAAAAAATTTAACATTGAAAATCGGTCGAATTCAGGTAACATTCTTTAACACCCCAGGTCCCCGCCCAACTCCAGATTCTTCGCAACATCCTTGTGTGTGGAGTGTCCTAATTTTTTATTTAAAAACCTTGTTCAAAATAAAAAAAAATCCAAAATGTATGTAACCTTGATTACTCATTCCTGCAAGCGAATTAAATATAGAAACAGTAACGATTATAACCCTATTGAATACCTGTTTTGTCTGTCCCTGTGAGACCAGAGGCCTTTATTACTAAAATAGAAGGAAACAGACAAATAACGACAATACCATAAATTATATAATAAACGCCCTGTCGTAGTTCAAAAGGGCCGCTAATTAGATAAGGGGCGTCTATTAGAGG